TCTTTAATTTAATCTTTAATTTAATCTTTAATTTAATGCCACAAATTCTCACTATTTGAAATTTTTCAATTCCAATTTTAACGCGGGAAGAAAGATTGATTATTTTTTTTATGGAGCCTTCTTTATATTCCGCCTGATCCATGAATATATTATGGTATATATAGGATGACCGGGCTCATATGCATATGAATGAAATACGTCACACAAATAAGGTGAGCAACTTACGGTTTAGGTGACAAAGAAATAAACTGAATTTACATTCATCGCGGTAGAAGGGAACAAAGTCTCTGATCATCTTCCTCCGTTGAAAATAAAATCATCTCTCACTTATAATTGTTCCCTCGAGTTCATGAAGATCGGAATAAATAGTGCATTTATTCCGGAATTCATCAAGCTGACGTGAAACGATTATTTCCAATCGATAATTCAATGAATAACAATAATAAAAAATAAATGAAATACCCTACGGGAAAATATAATACCTTCAAAAATATATTCGATATATTAAATATGGAAGAGGAAAAGAGAAAAATTGAATTAGTGTTGTGACTTTGGCGGAGTGGAGAAGAGAATTTTAAAATTGTATGTTTTTATGAGAATTCACATCTCATACATCCGCTTTGCGTTTCCGGATGCCATTTTTACGCCATTTTTACGGCAATCTCCAGCAAATTTTTTGTCATGTTATGTACATGTTATGTAGATATTTGCACGATGACGAATATCGAATATTCCACCGCAAAAGCCACGCATGACCGATTCAGGTAACACAAAACCGGTGTCACGTACACGGATTTATGTACACCGTCTATCAGTTTCCCCGTTGCATTTTTTGTTTATCAATAATTGATCTCTGTCGAACCAATTGTACATTGTACATACAATATGTATTTAATAACTGCATCTAATACAAAATATAGCCTCTTCATACACAGGAGACAATATTCGATAATTGGGCCACAAGTTGAAATCACCGGGCGTAATGAACGCAATTCCAATTAACAATTATATGTTCGTTAGTTCTCAATTAATTATCCAAATTATTGAACCCCGATGTAATCGGTGGCACATAAACAACGGAGGAAAAATAGAATCGGAGGGTTCCTAAAAATCCGCGTAACAAATTAATTACTTCTGCCCATCGCTCGGTCTCCGGTTATTAATTGGAGTACAATTTCAATTATTTTTTTCCCTGGACTAAATGGCACATGGAATTTGACAACTTTTGGCAATGCGAAATTTAATACAGTCTGTATTCATGTGGTATTAATTTATGTATTATTAATTAAAGTGATTAATTTTTATAAAAATTCATTCATTATTGTATTTTGCAATATTGATGTGTACAATTATTTTATTTTAACAAACAATGATGTGGTTTTCTAATATTCTTTTTTTATTGTTCCTTTGATTTTTTTTATGAAGTTCTTTTGGTCGTGTTATAGCTGTGACAGTCGAAATGTTTTTAAATCCCTTCAATCAGATTGCATAACGCACGAGCGAGAGAAGCCGTAGAATTATAGATTAGAATTTCGAGAACAGTGAATCCCTGAAAAAAATAGATCACAGAAAAAATAGACCCGTGTTAATTTCCCTATGGACTATTATTTTAGGTGGGTTTTAACCCATTCTGTAGGTGTGGGCTATTTTTTCCTGGTCTATTTCTTCTGCCTGTTGGAAAATTGCGCTTAAAATTTCAAATAAAAAAATATGGGATTTTAAAATAAAAAACACCGAGAGCCCGATTTCAATTTATACCTGAATTTTTCATTGATAAATTCGTTAATATCTTGATAACATTCTGTTAATTTTCAATTGATTGAAAATTAAATTAACATTCAGGTGAATTTGTGACGGGAATTTTGGAAAAATTTCTGTGTGGGAAGTGGAGGATATGCAAAAATGCAGAATATTTTCCTTTGGACTTATACAATATAACAAGAAAGTCGTTAACTCCATTGTTGAGACCTAAGACAATAAGTACACGCTTTCACCGAGACGAATTTTACGCAATAAATGACCCTGAATAAGACAAAACTCACACTAAACTGTCTTTAGTAATATTTCTCTTCTTTAATGGCTTCTGAATTTCCAAATACCGTTATACCGTGGGATTGAATTGTTCGCTAGAAAAATCAATTACAATCGGTTTATCTTCGGAGTGAATCATCCCGAACAGGGTATTAGAAATCTAAACTGATAAAGATAGTCATAAATATGCATTAGATCATTAGCAAAACTTGTAAAATTATACCTTCGACTGAATTGAAGACAAAAATACTCGTCTTCGTCTGCATAATTTTGTTTAAATCTCCAGAAAACTATCAGACATCAAATTTCATCACACGATTACGAGAAATAATTTTTCACGAATGTTCTCCATTTGCATTTTGAATAATTATTTTTTCCGAATCATGAGGGAGTGATCCCTGTCCCCTTTATCCCACTGTCATACGACACATTTATCACAAGTCATGTCTCTAGTCATCTCAAGGATCTTTAACTCTTGACAGTCACTGAAAAATCTGAACATTCACCTAAGAAACTTCTACAATCTACACGAGATACCAGCCTGGGAATACCAGTGATGCGTTGTAGACTTGGAATGTAAAGTCCGTCTTAATATTAGTAATAGGTTTAAAAACGCAATAATATTGTTAAATCGTCGGATATTTTTTCATAGCAATAGCAACAAATCTCCGCAATTGCTGATGGAAAAAACTTTCTCATATTGCACATGTAGGCAGGAATACATCCGGCCGGATATGTCGTATTTGAAATTAATGAGCAATTGCCATTTACATGATAAATTTAATAGAATATTAATAGCACGAGATGATGTCCCACGAATGTATCTGTAAAATTGATTCTGTAGGCCTGAAAAATTAAATAAAATTAAATCAAATTAAATAAAATTAAATAAAATTCTATTCTATTCTATAAAATTAAATAAAATTAAATAAAATTAAATAAAATTAAATAAAACTAAATGAAATAAGAGAACGAATGAAAATGAAAGGGGAATCGAAATTTCCGATGAAAATAATGAATAAATTTTGATGTTTGGCTGTGACACAAAGGGATTTCGATGCTTGGCAAGGCGTGGCGAGGGTTGGTATGTTGGGCGTTTGTTTGCAGTACTCTTGAGATGGAAGTTGAGTCACGTTATTTACTCCTCTTAGTTCTGTAGTGTACGTACCTATACTGTACTCTCGATTCACCCACCTATTATTTTGTAACGGATACCAAGCAGGAGAAAGGAGTCAAGGAACTCTCATGAATTCATTCGAAAAACTCCCGCGGTATAAACTTGTCCATTGTCATCTTCATTCCAACACTGTCAAGCTAAGTCGATGAGATTTCTATCAATATTATGGAGGGATATAAATACATGTGATCCCAAAGACTCAGAGAAGACACTTGGTATTTAAGAAGCAAAACAGGTTCGAGAAATACCTAGAAGACGACTCGAGATTGCGCCCTACAGGCGTTAAACATCCGATACTTCGCCCTCGGATTTTTCATAACAATTTGCTTATTACAAGGTGATTTTAATGAATGATTGAGGATACATCACTTCCGCTGGTTTTCATGCTTCTTCCTTGATGGATTTTGAAATATACAACGACACCATTGCACACCGCCGGTGCTCATGTTATTTCTTTTTATCTTTAATTTTATTCTCCGTCAATTTTTTTACCAAGTCTGAGCACGTACGGTGACTGGAGTTGATATATAGTCATCCCTTCTATCTCATTTCCCAGTGAATAATCCTCCAAACTCTGTAGTAAGGTTTATCCTGATGTTTAACGAATTCACAGTTTTTAATAAAAAAAAAACTACCTAAAACAATATTGCATTTGTTAGTCATTTCTTACGTCTATTTTTTTTTCAAATTTTTTTCAAGCCAATTGAAATAAAAACACGTCTATTACCTCTCTCGTTGTTTAATAGTGATGACAATTTTTCAGTTGTCCTGGGGTGTTTGACAACTGACACACAGCAAGTACCACAGACAACGATACACGCGATAAAAGATGAAGACCACCCACGTGAGGCATATTTCAATGGTACAGCATCTCTGTGGTTGGCATCGACAGTCTCGGTGAATCGCCACAGTGGTTTGAGCTTCAGGACTTGTGATGGTGGAAGATTATTCTCCCAACGGTACAATGACGACAACATAAGTCTGGACGTCACCCCGGATGGCCTGATATTCACGGCAATTATTGAAAAACAAAAATACGAAGCCAAACTCAGCGCCAGACTCCTCAACAATGCATGGCACAATGTCAATCTATTCTTCAGACTGGGGAATCTCACCCTCACTGCAGCTGGCCATACCCAGGTAATTTATCATTATAGATATTAATTGATTTTTGTTTTATTTGGGTTCATTGGTATTGGAAATATTTTTCTTCTAGATTGTCGCTAATGCCACATATAATTCACCTATTCTCATGCTTTCTGACTACAACGTCAACGGCACGTTAATCGTCGGTGAAGGATTCAAGGGATGCATTCTCCAGGGACCCGGAATTCTCTTCAATAATTCAATCAATTATGGCGCTGTACTCGGTACCTGTCCGTCTGATAACAAAGGATGTAAGTTGTCATTCATTTGGTAATTAATGTTTTGCTGGTGAAAATTTTACGAGGTTTTAGGCAAAAATTTATCGGAATTTTGAATTATATAAT